TCATGAAAGGAATTATCCAGATTTTTGAACACATACTAAAAGTCTGTTTTTAATCATCCAAAATTACATCAATATTCAGTTTATGAAAGTATACCTACATACTGCTTGAATCTATAATCCAATTTTACTTGTTCTGGCATCTCAGGCATGTAGACTTAAAATAAATGACTATTATTATTATCACTACTATTTTTGGAGACAGTGTCTCACTCTGCAACCCAGGCTGGAGTGCAGTGGCGCAAACATGGCTCACTGTAGCCTAGACCTTCCAGGCTCCAGCGATTCTCTTGCCTTAGTCCCCCAAGTCACTGGGACTATAGGTGCATGCTACCACATCCAGCTAATTTTTGTATTTTTTGTAGAGATGGGGTTTTGCCATGTTGTCCAGGTTGGTCTCAAACTCCTGAGCTCAGGCAATCCACCCGCCTTGGCCTCCCAAAGTGCTGGGATTACAGGCATGAGCCACCATGCTCGGCCTAAGTAATTATTTTGTATATGAATTTAGTTTAGCAGCTTTAACGTGAGAGCAAGTTGTCATATGCACATTATATTGGGGAAAAATAAGTCACACAAGATTTAAAGATGAGATTTAGAATAATTCAGCTATTCTTTAAAGACTTTTCTTACCAAATCTGAATTTCACACACACACACACACACCACACACAAACTTCTGTCTGCCTTTTCTTCATGTACTCTCAGGTTAGATGAGGGTTTTGGCAGCTAACAGCTTCCACATTTTCAGACAGAATCAGTAAGTAGGTAAAATAAAGTTATGCTCTTTTGAAAAATGTCATAACATGCTTGGCTGATGGGCATATTGGGACCTTTGTAATGAGATGGCAGGGAAAGGAAGCAAGCAAGAATTAGCTGGAACTGAAGTTTTCAGCTGGAGTGAAGGAGGTAGGGTAGGGAATGTGAGGCAGCTAACCCTGTTGCACTGTTGGCCCCTGTGGGGTTGGCTTAGGAGATGGAGGGGGCTTTTTTTGCAGGTTGAAGACACTGAGAAAGTCACTGAAGTTCCTGTCAAATTTACTCACTCTCTCATTCATTCACTTACTCATACCATTTTTATTAAGCGCTTATAAGGTACATTTGTACTAGGTGCTGAAATATAGTACTGAACAAAATGGAGAAATTGTCCCTGCTTATCATCATGAACATGGGCATACCTGTCCTACCATGTACAGGAGAGAAAGACACTAAGCAGATGTTCACATAAATATATCATTAAAAATCCCAACAAAGGTTTTGAAGAAAAACTACTGGATGATAAGAGAAAATAGGAGAACTGATTTATTTCAGAGGCTAGTGGTCAGGGAAGATCTCCTTGTGATTTCAGGTTTAGATAGGCAGGAATTCTTGGGAGAAAAAAGAGATAAAAGCATTCTCCGTAGCAGGAATAGCATGTTGAAAAGGAAAGTGGTGGCAAAGAGCTGGTCAATGACTAGGGTAGCTACAGCACTGTGAATACTTTCCTTTTAAATAAATTTAAGAAAAAAATATATAAACTAGAATATCAGATATGTGGAATTAATAAAACACATATTTTATAATCCCATACACTTCTAAATCTTCATAATAAGATAATGAGTTAAACCCTGAAGCCAAACAATATTTGTCTTGCTTTGTGTATTTTCACTGAGCTGTTTTCCACAACAGAACAGTGAAGATTATACTCTAGGTGTGCTTATAAGGCATACTATATACATGCATGCACACACCCCTTTACTTTGCTGTTTAAGGGGATTCGATGATGATATTATCTTGCTATTAAATTCATACTAAATTTTCTCTAACTTTTAACTCAAAATCTTTAGATTACATAGAGCTAGTATTACAGCAGAGATAGAAGGCTATGAAATGCAATACTCAACCTTCATAGTCCTCTTCCACTTAAGTCCTATTCCATTAAACATGGCCATGTTATCCAAAAGAGCAACTGGCAAAAATGAAGATCAGTGGTTCATCATGAAAGCGATTAGATTACAGATTGATACTGACATTGTGTTTTCAGGAAAATTTACCATAAGAAAAAAGCCTTTCATTTTTAAATAAACGTATATAAACAGGTAAAAATAAAACAGAAATTCCTGTGAAATATAAAAAGTTATTATTTAAGTATATGTTGTTTTGTCTCCAAGGTCCAAGCATTGTTAACTGTAATATTCTGTTGTCCCAGCAATAGATCAAGCTAAGTAACTATTTGTGTTTTATAACAGCGGCAGCTCAGTATGTTTCCCCTAACTTAATAAATAGTAACATAAAGTAAAATACAATTTTGGATAGAAATCAATCCAGGCACTGAAAACATTATTAACATCAACATATGAGGACACATGTTTTTTCAAGTCAAGCTTTTCAAAATGCACTCATTTATTCATTAAAGCACAAATTCCTCTGTATATGGCATGTGTACCATGCACGAAGCAATAGGATAGAGTGCGGAAAGACCCCTGGAGTAGGTGATTTGGGTTCTAGTCCTGACTATAGTACTTACATTTTTTTTGCAACACAGCTTTTGTAAATCATTTCTGAGTTTGGGTTTTGTTATTTGCACATTGGGTTGTTGTGAAGTTCAAAAGACATATTAAATGTGGAAACTCCCTTGCTAACTGTGAAAGCACTAAATAAGTGCAAGGTGAGAGCCTCAAGGGAACTCAAGAGCCTAGTAAAAACCCCACCGATTAGAGTTCTCTCTTTTAGAACATTGGTTATAGATATCCAACATGTACTTGGGGGTTAGCAATATTTTCTTCTTCTAAACCTAAGAAATGAGTTATCCTACTCTGGAATTGGTGTATCAGCATTACAGGGGAAGATCTCCCCCAAAGTTAACAATATTCCTTACTCTATCCTGGTCCTCTGTCAAAAATTAGTTGAGATAGATGTCATCTATCTGGGAAATACCATGTCACAGATTCAAGACATACAATAAAAACAGGAGGCAAAAGTGGACTCTGATTTCTCTCTTAGAATAAATTTCTAGAGGTGAAGTTAGTAGACCAGATTCTTGATATACATAACTAAATAATGTCCTTCAGAGAGGTGGTAAAAATTTATACTCCTCAAAAATATTCGCAATATTCCTGATTACCAGTTTGGCTCACCTTTTACTGTCTTTCCTAATTTAATACCTCATAATTCACAAGACTTAACTACTTTCCTTCCCCACACAGTGTAACATCTGTCAGGATACGCATGACAGAATGGAACAGGCTGAGTATTTAAATGTGCCTTCAATGGCTCACTACTCTCAGGATAAATCCAAATTTTTAATAATTTGTACACTCTGAGTCAAAGTGATGGTCTCTTCTTCCTTCTCTAGGTTCATCTCTCACTACCAACTACCCTCTCGAATAGGCCATCTGTCCCTCATCTTCAAACTTTTGTTCAGGGTATTACTTATGACTGGAACACCAGATTCTAGAAGAAGCTCAGTGCTCATACAGCTCTTCTGAATAGTGGTAATAACAAAAGTGGTCCCCTTTCAAACAACTAAGAGTGCTGATTTCAGGCTGACTCTGAATGTCTAGGGAAAAAAAAATAATTCAATAGATCAGTCATTCAATGGAGCAGATTCTGACACAGGCACTAGTGTCTTAGAAAGAGACTTGAGAGTATGTAACTGGGGAGAAGGGAGGGTAAAGAATGAGGCACCTAGGAGTGCTAATGACACTACAGTCCAAATAAAAACATTTTTCTATACTCTAGTTTTATGAAAGAGCTATAGAATAAGTAGATGATTTAAGAGATTTGCTCAGAGAAACAACTCAATTGTAAGTTATTAAATCTTTCACATTTTGAATGCCTAGATGGTATACCTTCTACAGCAGAAGCAGATTAAATTTTTTTTTGATATTTTAAGCATTAAGCACAGTAATTCAAATTACTTAAAAACTTGCAGTCCATGTTTTTCAAGGGCTCCTAGTAAGAAGCTATAGTTCCAGTGACACAACAAACTCCTTTTAACCAAAATGGTTTAAAATGCATAATTTCGTGGATTGAATGTTCTTGCTGACATGATTCTCAGCTTCCACATGGCCATTATCCTAGTTTCTCATCATCCATATGGCCTGGACTTAATGGCCCTGCTTTTGATCTCTCAAATGATGCTCTGCACTAGAGAGATCCAACAGGCCGATTTGATCATGCAAGTTCCCAGTTCAAAATTATTCAATAGTTCTTTATTACTGCAGGAAAGAACCTAAGTACTTTATCATACAATTCCTGATCTAACCTTTACCTGTGTCTCCAGGCCCATCTACTACCCCTTCCTCATGCCACTTCCTCCAATTGTTAATACACCAGCAATTATAAGCCACACGAAATCCTTGGAACATGCCACATTCTTACACATTTTTAGTGTACCTGCATATGCCTTTGCACTAAAATACTGCTACTTATATTTTATTCTTCATTCAAATGCTCCCCACTCTGAAGCCTTTTCTCACTTCCCCTAAAGACTAAGGCTCTATTTCTCCTATGTTCATCTTCTACTTTCTGCACCCACCCATTACAACAGTTAAGTTATACTGGGACTCTCAGCATGTCTTTCTCCCCATATAATGGTGTGTCATGTCTTCCCATTTTACCTCTAGCTCTCCTCTCCATGTCTAGCAAATAATAGATGCTCATTTTTCAAATGGAATCATGACTATATTAAAACTGTATCTTTAATGTTGAATTTTGCAGCTATCTGTGCATTGCATAGTATCACACTGATGATTAATCAGCTATTTATTATTGTTCTCCATCAATTTTGTGCATATTAAGTTATGCCATTAAAAATCCAACGTGCTATAACTATGGACTCATTGAACACATAAACTTAGGAAAATAATCAATTACCCATCATTTTTTAAGGGTATAAACTTTAAAGTTAGGCTCTTTTGTGAAAATCTAGTAAAAGGATAAAAATAACCTAGACTTTACCCAAAAGAGTCACTTGCCAGTCTTTCAACAAAAACTGTATCAAAGAGTCTTTGAAATTTTACTTACATGGTATAGTGTGGTCTCTGGCACAGGAGTGCCCATGATGTCTTGTCTCAGTGCATCCATTTGTAAACTAGGTAGCAATGAATAGTGAGTTGGGCTATTACTCTTATCACCCTTCTTTTTTGACTTCTTCCCTGTGTCCTTTTTGCTGTTTCTCTGAAACATGTATTCTTCTTGAGCAATCTTTTCATTGCTCATATACCGAAGTAGAGAGTTTTCTATATAAAAAGAGATAAATACACCAATGTAAATACACAAATACACCAAATTTACCATTCTTTCTCAATTGTGCTATTATTAGGTTGGCGCAAAAATAACTGCGGTTTTCCCATCCCTTTTAATCGCAAGAACCGCAATTACTTTTGCCCCAACCTAATATATTTCATTTCAGAACTTTAACTTGATTTAATTTATAAAATATGTAGTGAAATACGGTATATCTTAATTATTTGGTATGATAAGACAATTAAAAGTAGACAGTCGATAGATTATTTCTCCAAGTTTTAGCTTTGGACCAACTACATTAGAATCATCTCTGGAACTTGAATCAGAAGTTCTAGGTGTGTGGCTTATAAAATTTGTAACAAGCTCCCTCATGGGGATTTTGCCAAAGCCTGATAACAAACACTGGCCTGTGGTATGCAAGGTAGCATGCTTGGAGAAGTTGAGGCCCACACTGAGAACCAATAGTCAGGAAATTTCGTTCAGGAATTCTATGCTTAAATTGGTAGTCAGCACTTAGTACTTCACATGGTCCCCCTCCCCACCAACAAAAGTCACTAAAATATGAAGTCTCAAAACAGTGACTCTGAGATAGCATGTGATAAACATTTCTCTTTTGTATTCTTCTTGATTTATTCTATAGAACAAATGAGATCAGAAATTGAAGATTGGAAAATGGAGTGAATACACAGATATAAAGGAATCTGTCAATTTCTGTATTTATCAACATTTTCAGAAATGCTCACTCCATAAAACAAGTATTAAGAAGACTAATGAACCAGATATTCATGCTTGCTTTTCCATATGGTCTGCGGATCTGTGCAGTAATAAAATAAATTCTGTAAACTGGCTAGAAGTAACAAGAAAACGGGTCAAACATATCATGAAGGAAGCTTAGTGAACTTACATTCTATGAATAGTTTTTTGTTTTGATTTGTTTTATTTTCCACCTATGACCTTACGGCTCTCTACTGCAGAAAGTGGAAGTAGCAGCATGACCCACTGGACCCACCATACCCACACTTGATCAAATCCTTTAGTAGGGAAACTTTCAGTTGCTTTCTATTGCTTATCTCTATAGCAGGATAAGTGAACATAAAAACTTACTTTTGGTAGATCCTTCAAGAGTAGCCCACCCCCATGTAAGAAGAAAACTCTGAACAGCAAACAGAACAGGAAAAAAAAAGCAAAGTTTTTTTTTTTGTTTTTTTCCTTCTATTTCTACATGGTTTTTGTTAGAAGTCACTGGCCCGGTTTCCATTAGTTTTTAACCCATGTGCTTCAATGCTCATTTTTAGGTTGATTCCATACAAAATTGGTGAGGTTGCATTGCAGACTGATGAGGACTGATGATAAACTCTTCCTATTCACTGAACCTATTTTATGCAGTTTCACACTTCCGACCTTGTGTTTCAAATATTAACTTTCAAGTAACAATCAGATATTTACTTTTAACACCGTACTTATGTACCTGGAATCCCTTAGTAGGCATTCAGAGACAATATCTGTTTAATAATGGGTCAAGATAGTCCAATGTTGGTCTTACTTGGTTTTGTTGCATAATAAAGTCAATGATAGAATAAGTTTTCCACTGAAGCCATAGCAATCTATTTAGAGAACATTTAAATTTGCTTATTGTTCAAACAACCCAGCCTACACTGAAATTCTAGAACACTTACCTCTTCTACTATCTCTCTTCATCTTATTTGGATCTTCATAGTCCCCCACCCAATTATATTCCACTGGCATAGATATAGGTCGTAGCTTGCCTAAACACAGAGAACAAAGTTCACATCACATTGTTTTTCTTCCCCATGTCTGCTCAAACTTACACTGATTTTTAGCTAAGGTCTACCAAACACATTCACTCTTATGCAACATTATGGTTGGCATTTGTGTAGATGGAGAAAATGTGTTTTGAGCCAGAAGGTGAAACTGCCTATTGGCCAGGTGATAAAGCAAACTTAAGGTACTTTTTATAAATAATAATTAATAGCCTAGGTTAGCTCTCTTAGGAACCCCAGACTTTAAGGGTATAGTTTCTTTTTTTTTTTTTTTTTTTAACAAAGAAGATAATCATATAAGTGATTTTACTCAGTAACTGGATCTCTATCTTATTTCTTAGTGCCCAAGTGTCTATATCTTGATAGCCAACCTCCAAGATGGTAGCTTTCTGTGTTTAACCTGACTACCAGTCATTAACCCACTGTTTCATGTTGGAACACCACAAGAATAACTTTATATCTTTGCTGCTTCCTATCTCCTATCACCATACATTTTGGACACCACCATGTCTCAAAAATATGGTTAGATTCTCTTTCATGTCCTATAGCTGAGTCTGCTGCTAAGCATCTCTTTTGCTACAGTAAGCCTGTCCAGTATATAGATCCAAGTAATCACAGCTTTGGTTTGTCCCATATCCCCCTGGGTCTGTATCCTTACTAAACAGCATTTCACTTCAGCAAGGAGAACTCATGGCAAATACTTCAATAATAACTTTTATTTTGGTGAGGCTGTAGTATATTATTTCTGTTCCACTTGAAATTCCTGAAGCCTAAAACAGCCAAAGAAAATAATTCAAAAGTTTTAACAGGATACCTAGCACAATGCCTGGCATGAAATAGTTGCTTACTGAATTTCTAGTGAATGAAAAGCAGAGACTCACACAGGACTGGATCGTACAAATAATAATGGTTATTATGATTATGATAATAGTACAAACATTTATATGTCATTTGCCATATAGCACATAGTAACAGTTTTATAAGGATTAAATTGTTTACTCTTGATAATTCAGAGAAATATACTATCACTATCCTCATTTTAACTGATGAGGAAACTAAGGTTATATAACTTGCCCAAGGACATATACCTGTTAAGTACATAGTATCAGGATTCAAACCCAGGCACTCACACTTACTTCTGTCATAATTCTTGGTGACTTCAATATTCACCCTCTGAGAGTCTGGTCTTTCAGTTTCTTGAGGTTCTCTCTCACACTCATTCCTATGGTCATATGCTTAGTCTCATCAGCAAAGGTTGCAATCCCTTTAAATATCCAACTTACCAACTACCACCTTTTGTATTTCTAGCACTCTACCTACAGTACTCCAAGTCCAACAATTCTTCCTCCTTTAATGTATTAATACCTATCATACTACTTTTCAGTATCTATCAGTCACCTTCTGTCCCTGAAACTTCCCTCCTTGTCCAGCTAAATTTTATGATTATTATAATCATTCAATATGTTTTAAAAAATTCTGTTAGGAGAATTCTAATTCTGTTCTTAAGGAAAATGTATCAATCTTATGGCTTCTTATTGTTAACACTGATACAGTTTAGTCTGTTTTGCTAAGCTCTTTTAAAAGATTAACTAGACATGATAAAATTATTAATGAGCCAAAAATGTAGTATTTAATGGCTTCCTTTTAAGGTATGCAAACAACTTTGTAAATGATCACCTAATATTCCAAATTCTCCATCAGTATATCTCTGCTCTTTTACACAGAGGGAATTTGAGTGAGATGATCTGAGGCAGGATAGGTAGTCAAGGAAGTAAACATGTCCTCACACGACAACCATACAGTTAACACAATAAGCCCCAGCATTCACACTGTAGTCCAGCTCATTCAAACACAGCTATCTACAGTAGGGAATTTCCCCTGCAGGGAGCACATGCATTTTGATTACACCTGTCCTCAGACTGACCCTTTGCTCATTATAATAGTAAACAACACACCCCTGGACAGAGATTTAAGATGCTAATGAGACATGCAATGTATGAACAAGCATGTACAGCTACTATGCATGTGCACCCAGAGGACCACCAAGAATATGCTTACTAGCAACACCTCTTCCCATTCCTTTATGAATAATTATGTAAGACTCTCACAAAGGGAGTCTCCCTAGTGCCAGTATTGGTGGTCTCATCCTTAGGAGCAGCTCGCCCTGAATCCTCTCTCAGGGTGTACTGTCTATTCTGTATCTAACTTTCATAACATTCTTTGTCCTTTGCAATAAATTGCTCTATGCAACATCTCCTTTGCTGTGGGTCTCTCATTTAAATTCTTTTAAGCTAAGAAGAACCGAGGTCTCACAACAGCCATCTACAGATCCAGGTCAATATTCTGCCCATCGAAAGTAGGGTAAGGGTTTGAGGGAAGGTCTCCTTTTGTTATGTCTATTCCCACCACTTTGCATAATCAGTCCTCCAGATTTTCAATGTTATGAAGGTCGTATTTTCAAAATATCTACAATTTATTTCTTTAGGATCTGGTTTTAAAAATAAACTCTACTTCAGCATGGGCACTGAAACTGAAGCAATTAACAGCTCTAGCACTGTTTTTACATGTCACCAAAAAATCCTTTGAAAAGTGAAAATCCAATAAATAAGCAGTTAATTGTTTTACTTGCTCTATATGTTATATATATTAAAAAGCTAGTTAGATATTTTTTGAAAATTGGTTGTTTGGAATCAAACATATATGCACAAAAACAACAAAAAGAAACATACTTCACACACAGAATATGAAATACATAATTGTATTCATTGTATTTTGTGTCATCTCTGAAATTCTAATGGAGCTAAGTCATTGAAGAATGTAATTAAGCCCTTGATATGTCTGGTTATATAATTAGCCATAGAAACAATTATGCAGAAGATTTTTAACACTGACTTTTCCGGGGATGACTTTTTTTTTTTTTAAACAGAATTATACTGTATACTACTAATGCACAATTGAAGGAAAACATACTAAATTAGAAAAAAATTGAGAGAAAAAGCTTTACTGACATTTACTTTTGGAGAACATCAAGGTTTTGCTTTTATTAGTTATAAAACTATAGATTCAGCAATGCAAATAAAAATAAGTACTTTTAAAAATAAAGTATATTATTGATTTAGGTAGAACAAATAATGTTGCTTATAAGTACTGATTTTTAATTGTCCTAAAATATTGAAGTAGACTTAATAAAGCAGTTAAACCAGTAACATAAGGTAACATTCTTGTATAAACATCAGTCCATGGCAGATTGAAAAACAGACCATGGCTTAAATTATTTCTAATTCCAAATATACAGATCATTGATTACAGCTTGAAAATATGTTTGCTATTACATGTATATACAGCAGCATTTTAATTTCACAGGACAGCAAAGTTCAAATGGAAAGATAACTTTATGATTCAATGTTTTAGTGCTGTTGGTAAAAAACAAGGGAAACAAAACACCAAAGGTAAGAGTACTATAAGCATTATAGACTTAAATCAAATATACACTATTATTAATACATGCAAAATATTTTTATACTCATATGACTTTGTAAGGCTTTAATACAAAGCCTTACAATGGATTGGTTGTATCCATTGGTTTACAATGGATTGGTTTAATAAAATTAAATACATCTGACCCATTCCTGTGTAAATGTACATAAATAAAACACAAATCTCTGAAAAGTAATCTGGAAAAGTTTAAGACATGTCTTTACATAGTAATACTTATATTGGTTTTTGAAGTTGTAAAGTTAAGATGACTAATTCATGATAAGAATAATAACAGCAAAGAATATAATCAAGAAAATGAGGATTAGAGCCCATTTAACAATTTTTGCTGACCACTTCTTAATGTTTTATTCCTTTAAGTATAAAGCATGTATTAATTGCAGAGTTCATTTGGCATCCTATCATAAGCCTTGTGATACCACTGTGCTAGTGCCTCATAATATAACCATTATTTTATTTGGTTTTTAATATCTGTTGCACATCTAGAGTTTTTTAATTGGTGCCTCCATAGAGGCAGGAATTTTGTGCTGTATTTCTTACTGTATTCTAATAAATGTGGTAAAGGTAAAAGATAAATATTTTTATAGAGGCACACAGAAAAAAAGATAAATATTTTTTGGATTTTGTCTGAATTTTATTATGATATTAATGGCAAGCAGCTTCTTAAGAATTATGGGCTATATTCAGCTGCAAGTAAGCAAATGGAACACAAAACACAATTTTAAGAATATAGACAATGATGAAGTGCTATATAATGATATATCCTAATTACTGTATTTTAATACAAAATTGCTATGCTTGAATGTTAGTGTACAACATTGCTTGAAAATAAACTAATTTTTACCTCAGATAACAAAGCATTTTAGGTGATATCACAAATGCTACAATCCCCTTTGGCAGAGTTAACTGCTCACTCTGTTGGGCTCCCTAAGCTTTTTCCTGGTGCCTTTAGCATATATACAATACTTATTATGCTGTATTGTGACATTAGGAAGATCTCAAACTACTGGGTTGCTCATTGGATCCTATTCCCTCTGACCTACTCAAGGGCATGCCTTGAGCAATCCTCCCTTCTTTCTCCTGCATCATCAACTTTTCTCTTTCTACTCAGTCATTCCTATTAGCATATAAACATGCTGTAATTTCTCCATCTGTTTTTAAAAAAGTAACTCTCCTCACCCCACAAACCTCTACCCAGCTACCACCTTTTTTGTTCCCCTTTACAGAAAACCTTGTAGAAAGCTTCTTTATATTTGTAGCCCCCAATTCTTCTCCTCCTCTTCTCTCTTGAATCTTCTCTGATTAAGCTCTTGCCCCCACTATTCCATCAAAACTGCTATTGTCAAGGTTTTTAGGGCCCCCATATTGCTAAATCCAATAGACAATTCTCAGAGTCCTTGACTTTTCTGATGTATCTGTAACATTAGCACCGATTATTACTCCTTCCTTGAAACACTTTCCTTACCCGGCACCCTAGGACTCTGTCTTCT